TGAAAATAAAGGAAATTTATTACCTGTATATGGTACGGTAGTACGGTAGTTATCAACACAAACCAGACAAACTGTGAATCCTACAGTATCAAGAATTTACTTATGTATTCAATGGCAATCATGTCATCATCTTCTGGAACAACATCATAACAATCCAATTCCTGAATTTCCTGGTGAATTTCTTGTGACTCCATTTCTTTCAGAATCAGTGGACCAAATCTCTCATGTTTAGCCTAGGGGGGTCCTTATTTTTGGGGGGATGCCTTATATTTCACTCAGAAGGAAACCTGTAAGTAGGTCTTATTTTCGGGGAAACATGGTAGGTCCAATGTATTTGTGATTTTTTAAAAATTATTTTTGGTATAACTAGACTAAGCACAAGTTTAGGCAGGAGTTGGGCACTCGGGTCTTGGGCATATCCCTCACTCACACCCTTTAAGCTTAGGGTAGTGATAATATTTGGTCAGATTAGTTCATTTACATTTATTATTGTTTCAGATATATTTGGATCCATTTTTACTTTTTTTATCTTGTTCTTTAATTTTGTCTTATTTTTCCCTTAGTTTGAATTAAGACCCTGCTTTATCCCTTTCATTTTTCCTGAAGCATATGGAAGTTACGTATTCTGTTTTTTTCTAGCACCTACCCTTGAATGTTAATATTTATCTACTGAAGCTAATCATTCTTTTTACCGTCCTCCATAATAATATGAGGACCTGGGAATAGTTAACTCCTATTGCCCCATCCTAAATTATAACCTGGCATTGTCCAGAATTTTCAGTCTGTATTTGAAAACTATAAACGTTTCAGCTGTCCCTCCTTATCCAGGGGGGATATAATGCAAGAAGCCCAGTGAATGCCTGGCACTGCAGATGGTATTGCAGCCTGTATATACTGTGTTTTTCCCTATACATACCAATACTTTACAGTTCCTATTGAATTGCCAGCATCACTATTGTTGTATTTTAGGGCATTTATTTATTTATTTATTTATTTATTTATTTCAAGTTTCAATGGTAGTTTTTGTTTGTTAGTTTTTTGTTTTTATGTTAACAGATAAATGTTTGTAATTGAAAGGTCCTATGGACTGGGTTTAGCAAATAAAAGCAAAGTTAGCCGAAACCGGTTTGGCTCAATGGATAGAGCGTCGGCCTGCTGACTGAAAGGTCCCAGGTTCGTTTCTGGTTAAGGGCACGTACCTTGGTTGTGGGCACATCCCCGTTAGGGGGTGTGCCAGAGGCAGCTGATTGATGATTCCCTCTCATCGATGTTTCTAACTCTCTAGCCCTCTCTCTTCCTCTCTTTAAAAAATCAATAAAAAATATTTTTAAAAAATAAAAATAAAAGCAAAGTCAAAACAACCATGTGATTGGGAGTTTCTCTCCCCCAGCGCCATGGGGCTCCAGCAGCTCTTCAGGCCACCTTTCTGGGCGCGGCCACTGGCGGCTGTGGATTTAGAGAGATTCCCCAGCTGCCAGCTGCCCCGTGGACTTCCTTTCCTCAGGAGGGTGTTAGGTCTGTCCCCATGGGATGTGACCTTGGTGCCGTGCAGCTTCCTTCCGACCCTCTCAGACCTGCGGGTGCATGTCTCTATCCAGCCCAGATCCCTGATCCTATAGGGCCATTATTCAGCAAAACAAGGGTTACTTGAATGCAAGCCCTGCCCCACCACAGCAGCTGATGTGGTCACTGAGACAACTGCTAAGTGACTAACAGGGTGGGCACAGCCTGAGGGAGGGATGATTCACGCTCTGAGCTGGTCCCAGGGGGAAGGCTACTCAGAATGGTGCCACTGTTCACAACGTTTACAACATCTGAGTTATTTGTTTCTGGAATTTTTCACTTCGTATTTTTAGAGCATGGTCAACCACAGGTAACTGAAACCACAGGAAGTGAAATTGCCAACATGGACTGTGGTGTCTGCTGTATAATTGCTGAACTAAATATGCATTTTTTTTTATGTGCATGTTTCATTCAGCATTCTTCCCTGCATGTCACACCTTCCGTTTGGAATTACGTTCTCTTTCTTGAAGACTATCCCTTAGCAGTTCCCGTGATAAGGGTCTGGTGATCGTACACTAGGTTTGCTTTTGTCTGTCTGGACGTGTCTATTTTATGTCCTTGTTTTGAAACATCAGTTTTGCTAGATGTATAATTCATTCAGCGTTTTGAAAACTGTGCAAACGAAGGCAAAAGGCCAGGGAATGAAGATGCTTGCGGGAGCAGCGTTCCAGGAGGAAGGTCAGCAGAGAGAGGGTTAGTAACACACGTGCCATGGCCTCCCGCAGGGACAGGCTTCAGACTCCAGCAGGAACTGGGATCCCGAGGAGGAGCCTGGGCTGGGGTGCAGGAGAGCTGAACTGCGGTGGCACCTTGGCTCTGTGTGCCCAGCTCCGTTTTTGTGGCTCTGGGCCTTGGCTTGGCCCTTTTCCTGGCTCGGTTGGGGGCTCTATCAGCTTGCACTTGGGTCTGTATGATGTGGCAGGATGGGGCAGTATTTGTTGTATCCATGTTCATGGTTAGAAAACCACCAGCCCTTTCTCTGGTTTGGTTAAGACACTGGGGTCCAAGTCTGTGGTTGACCAGGACAAGACCATGGCGGGTTTCCATGGAGCTTTTGCACAGGGCCGCCTTCTGTTCTGGGAGACCAGCCTGCAGTGAACCCGTATCATTTAAGTTTAATTGTCTCTGTAAGTAATGCCGTTTCTCTGGATGCTTTTATGATCTCTTGGCAGTGTTTTGATGTTTGTCTATGTAGAGATGTCTTCCTTGTCACTCTAACTGGGGTACTGAAGCTGAAACAGTTTTGGAACTATCTGGAGCCAAGCCTTTAGCTCTTAGAATATTGCTTTTCCTCGTTCTTTTATGCCTTATAACCACTCTGTAATATTTATTTTTCTGTGTTGTGCTGTGAGTTATTTAAATCCATCTTATAATTTTCTATCTAGTTGCCTAATTTTCTGTCCCATTAGTTCAATCATTGTATTTTTACATTTCTAGTTTTATTTGGGTCATTTATAACTGCCTGTTCATTTTTAGTATAATTTCTTTTTTATTTTTTAATTACAGTAGACATACAACATTTCGTTAGTTTTAGGTGTACAGCCCAGTTATTAGACATTACATAACTTACTAGGTGACCATCCTGATAAAAAGTGTTAATAGTGAGCATTTTACAGTGAGCTCTAGCAGGTTAGCCTATGATTAATTCTTGTTCATGGATTTTAAAATGTAGAATGGGCCAATAAGAGTTGCTGGCTAGGATGTTAAACTGGTTCCTGTTCTTGTTATTTTTCATTGTGAGTTATTTTTTTCTTTTGGTTCAGATTTTTTTTAATGAGCAATATCTTATTTCATGGGTGTTATTTCTTCTTTGTAAGGCTTTTAATTATAGTCCATTAGCCTTTCTTTCTGTTCTCTACTTTGTCTCTAGTCCTTCTTCTACTTGTTTTGGTTTAGTTCTCTTTCATATTAGTGGCTGGTGATCTTGAATGGCCCATTCATACTTAAGTGTGAAGTGTGTAATTCCGTGTCACTCTGGGCAGGCCTTATCTGTTGTTGTTCTCTATGGGATGATGTTGTAGAGAACCTGGCTTTTTCAAAAATTCATAGGCTGTTTTTTTTCTCCTGCTATTTATTATTTTTCCCAAAAACAATCCAACAGATTGCTGCTGGGAGTTATAAAGTAATAATTATAAAAACTAAATATGGCTGGCAATATATATATGTAATTATTTATTTTTGGCATAGCCAGCTGGTCTGTGTGTTGTCTTCCTGTTTTTTTGCTTAATCACCCTCTTTTCACTCCATAGCCCTGCTTTCCCTGTGCTGATGTGTAGTTTGGAGCCTCTTGTTCCATTTTTCTATAGAAAAACCATGCGCCAGCGTGAGGTAGGGATAACCATTAGGGGAGGAACGTAGGCCACTCCTCATTCAGGCTCCCCGTCGTCATCCACCCCGTGTTTCATCCCTGCCTCCTTAGGACCTTAAACCCGCCCCTTTGGACATTCTGGAAGTCCTGAGCCTGTTCTGGGTTTTCTCCTAATTTGTACCTTCCCTGGAAGCACCTGCTGTTCTGGTTTCAGATCACTCCTGATTCCTCCTATCTGCTTTCCATTTCTTACTAATTTGTTGAGATCTCTCATCTGCTTTTATGTGTCTGTAATTTTCTTTAGTCTGTGGGTTTTACCATTGAAAAAAAGTATTTTTGTTCCCCTTTTTAAAGCAGAGTTTCCAGAGGAAACAGAAGTAAATACATGTTTAACCTGCCATATGTAACCCAAGTATCTTCCTCCATTGCACACCAGAACGTCAAGACCCATCTCAAGCCCACACTTCTGATGAAAGCTTTTCCCCGTAACTCTAGATGCTGCAGATATTTCCTGCTTCTTACCACAAAACATTTGTTTGCAGTTCTTTGTCATGTATTTGCTTCTGTGGCCATACAACTAAATTTATACTTTCCCTAATCACCTTAATTTGTTTTTAAAAGTTCAAAGCGCTCAAAACTTTAAAAAGAACTCTATTTCAGTCCCATCCAGTTCAGCTTACTTATTTATGAAACACTCACTGTGTACAAAGCATTAGATGGGTTACTACAGGGGCTACTGCAGGAGTAGCAGGATAAAGTCATCATGAGTCTTGATGTGTGAGGGTTTGTGTGTGGTGGGGAATCCAAAACTCCACAGGTGGGAAAGCTGCAAGTGTTTTCAGGCAAGAATAAATCTTATGTCATGGCATTTTGGGTTTTTCTAAAAAAAAAAAAAAAAAAAGGAAATCTGCCTGGGAAAATGTATTTATTTATTTATTTTAGGCATAGCCAGCTGGTCTGTGTGTGGTCTCCTCCCTACTGGATAGCAATAATCTACACTTAATAAGCATTTGTTGAGTTAATAAATGGAATATCACTTTGGGAATGAATGCTTTAAAATATTCTGCTTTCTTAACTTAAAAAAAAAATAAACATGAGGTTATTTTTGCCTTCCTGCCCCTCCATTTAGATTCTCCTTGCTCCTGCTTAACTTGGAGGAATACTACTTTGAGCAGCATACAGCTCATCACATCCAGCCTAAGGGCACTCACAAGGAAAGGTAAGGAAGAGTTTGGTAGCTCTGTGGACTAGCACACCTTTCTGTTGTCTGATGTTTTTAAAATTAAATGTATGGGGGGGGCAATGTTAAAATATGTACACAGATAATAATTAAAAAAATATAAAAATAAATAAAATTAAATGTATAATCATGGAGTTTTTTTTCATCCCTTCATTCGTATTGGACGTATAATGAGAAGAGGGGGATTTATAAGTTGTTGTCATATTTCGAATATTTTCCAAAGCTAAGAATTGGTGTGTACTAATTCCTTCAAGGTTGTGTGTACTTCAGATCAGCTGGCTGGGACTCTGATTCATTCCATCACTTTTTTTCTTGATCCCTTTTGTACTTGTACACTCAAGTTATTTGGGTTACAGTGTTACAAAATAATGTTATAAAATACAGACTGTTATAAAAATCAGTACCTTCAATTTTAAAAATGTTCTTTGTTAAGAAATTCTAGATAATAAACACAGAAGAATGATAAAAATTTCAGTCCCCAATGAGTAATGGAGATACATTCATTATGTAGATGCAAATTATAGCTTTTGGGTAAAAACATTTATTTTTTTAAATAAAGTTTTATTGGGATACACACACTCTCATTTGTTTATGTAATGTGTGTGGTTGGCTTCCTGCTACAATAGCAGAGTTGAATGCTTGTGACAGAGTTGAATGCATATGGCCTGCAAAGGAAATAAATATTTACTATCTGGCTCTTCATAGAAAAAGTTTGCTAACCGCTGATCTAGACAGAATCTTCAATGGCTGCTAAACCAGCAGGTGGAAAGCTGCTGATAAATTTTATAATGGATATGTCAAGGTTAACATCACCTGAACCCTCCGAGCCCCCTGATATGAAGAGAGTACATGTGCACTGCCTCTGAAGCATTCTTGTCAGAAAATCAAACCAGGATCTGGTCGCCTTTTAATTTTGCAAAATTTATAATGTGGGAAAATGAAAACTGTTTTAGAGAGTATAAGAGGCATTATCATTGAAAAGTAATATGGACTTTGGACTAGGATTTGAACAAACCAACTATTAAATCCTATTTAGGAAATAGAAAAATTTCAACACTGACTGAATAAATACTGCTGACATTAAGGAATTATTAATTTTTTTAGGTGTGATAACGATAGATCATTTATTTAACGAGTCTAAGATTTATATTAACAGTTGCAGAAGCTAGATAATTGATACTTGCAAGTTTTCTATTCTGTCTACTACTCTCTGTTAAGAAATTGTCATAAAAGTACTTAAGTTATTATTAGATAATTGAGGATGTTAGAAAAGTAAATGCATTTAGCGGCAGGGAAAAAATGATGTAAAATCAATGATGTAAAAAATCCTCCGAGGACAAAGAATTGCAAATTAAATCATATGTGTTAAATGGATGAGTCTTCTCGTCCATTTAGTACAGATATATTAAGCACCAAAGATAGAAAGCTAAAGAAATACTGCTGCCAACAAAAGAACAGGGAGAGTTACTCTGGTGATGGTAGGAGGAAGAGGGTTGGTACTGGGACTATAAGACTATTTCTCAGTGTGATTTATTTCTTTAGATACTGTAAATTTCCAGCCACTAGATTATTTAAACTATACAGGGATGCAGAAATAAATCCAAGGAGTGGAATTAAAAGCCCTAAATCTAACATTTGAATTGAGAGAACTGAAAATTGCTTATTGTTGTGAATCAATTTTCCCCCCCCTGATTTCCTACATACCCTAAAATCACCATTAAAAGCATTTTATGAGCCGAAGCTGGTTTGGCTCAGTGGTAGAGCATCCGTCTGCGGACTGAAAGGTCCCAGGTTCGATTCCAGTCAGGGGCATGTACATTGGTTGCGGGCACATCCCCAGTAGGTGGTGTGCAAGAGGCAACTGGTCGATGTTTCTCTCTCATCAACGTTTCTAGCTCTCTATCTCTCTCCCTTCCTCTCTGTAAAAAATCAATAAAATATATATTTTTTAAAAAAGCATTTTATGAGATAATGTCAAACTCTTGTTTATTGTTTCATTATGATAAGTAAGGAAAAAATTTCTTACATGGTCAATTTTATATGTTTAGTGTTGCCTTCTGAATAGTTCTTTTTGAATATAGGGAATTAAAAGTCAAAAGGATTTACTAGAGACAGGGTAGAATCAGTGTGCCTTAAGGATCAGCTTCCTGATCCTCATTTCCTTTCAGTGTAGTTGTAAATTCCAAGTGAAGTCATAGAAATGAAGTGCATGGGACGGAGCTCACCAACGTTAGAATACATGCAGGTTTTGTTAGCCTCTAGGAGATGAGGACAACTATTTTGCTATATTTTCTCACCCTTCATACCCTTCTCTTTCATTCTGTTGTTGATCTTTCATTAATTGATGTATTATGATTCTTTGGTGACTTTTGTTAATGTTCATTAATAATAATGATCTTTTGTACTTTGATCTCTAGGAGAGTCAGAGGCTCCTTGAAAATATGTTCAAAATCTGTTATTTTTGAACCAGATGAAAATTCCCAGCCCATCATTAAGGTAAATACATTGTAAAAAATAAAATAAATAAATAAATAAATAAATAGGCATTCCTATTCTTTGTGTATATGGTACCTTTGCTTATTTTTACATTTCTCAATTTTATCCAGATTCCTTTGAGAGACTGTCTAAAAATAGGAAAACATGGAGAAAATGGAGCCAGTAGACACTTTGCAAAGTATGTCATCATCACTAACTGTTTGATTTCATGACTACCAAAAAAGTATATATGTTTAATAACTTTTATCTGCATTTTAGGGCAAAATCGGGGGGGATTTCACTCCTCTTCAGTCAGGTAAGAGTAACAGAGTAAATGTTTTGTTCTAACCTGAATGAACAGTTTGCGTGTGTGCGTGCATGTGTGTGTGTGTGTGTGTGTGTGTGTGTGTGTGTGTGTACACAATTTAATTATTTGTAGGAATCTCAAATGGAGGTTGTTGGAATAATGTTTGAATGCTTTTAAGTAATCATTGAGAAATATGTATTTTAAAAGATCTGATCCCTAATGAGATACTTAATGTTTACCAAGTGTGTGATAACCTGCAGGCTCCTGATTTCCTCTCTAGGAGCCCTGGCCATGTTTGAGGGTTGAAATGACAGGGCTGTGGTTCCTCCTGTGGCCTCCTCGTCACTGAGAAGGCGGAGGCCAGCAGCATGCCACTTAAGTTACCTCAGCCTGAGGCATGCTGATGGCCAAAACAGCGACTGGGGATGTGTAACCTTGTAAAATTCTGACGCTTGAGGTCATGACGATTTATTCATTCCAAAGTCACTTGATAAACATTTATGCACCCAGTTCTGTGCCTAATACTGGCAATACAGGAATAAAGTGAAACGTGGCTTTTCTCCTGCTATATACTACTTAATTTGTCTGTAGATACTTGAAAAAATTGGAAATAAGAATGGAGTAGAGATCATCTACCACTTTCTTTTGCCTCTGACCTCACCTTCATCTTTGAAATGAGTTAGAGGCGATCCGTGTTGCCTCAGCTACCAGTGAGAGCCCCAGCGCCTTGAAGTGTTCAAAGAAAAATCTTTCTGTGATTAAGTCGGTGTAGGAAATGCTGTGGGAACAAAGACGCACAGACTCAGGACTTGACTCAAAGCCTCAACAGACAGAAGTGCATTGAGAGTCCAGGAGGCGAATGGTTAGGGGCAGAGAGGGCTCCCAGTGGTCTTCAGATCACCAAGGCCTTTGATCGTGGAACACTTTCTAATGTCTACTGAGGAGTCCGTCATAAAAGCTGGGAGATACCAGGCTATGTGGTTTTTCTGGATCTGCATCCGCGATTCCATTGATTTCAAGGAAGAAAACATTTCACAGGCTACCTTGTGCTGTTGTAACTGGCATCTATGAAAAAACAGTTACAGCCATCTATTACTTTGGGGAAGGAACACCATTATTATGAATTCTGGGCCGCCCCTGTGCTCTCCTTATTTCTATAGTATCATTCCGCATCTTTGCCTTATTCTAGAATGTCTGTATCTTGAAAGGAAGAAGTACTTTCTTAGTTTCCACTAGAAAAAAGAAAACACACACATTTTGGTAAAATTTTAATAACTTTGGGCTTAGAAATAAAGCCCCCAAATCCTTCCACCTATTTTTAATCGTTTGTAGAAGAGGTCTTCTATTAAATAAACCCAAAAGCAGCTTAACACCAGGGGGAGACTAGACACAAGCTACTCTTTCAAGTATCATTTTAAGCTTCCTGGTTAAGTGCACAACCTAGAAATACAACTTTTATAGTTTTTATTATTTATGAGGTCACAGTGTTTCAGAAACACCGTTAGTCCCCCCTTATCTGTGGGGGATACATTCCCAAACTCCCCGTGGGTGCCTGAATCTGCAGGTAGTACTGAACCCTACATAGGCCGTATGTTTTTTTTCTCTCTGCATCCTATGCTTTCCCTTAAAGGAAGCACTTTACAACTTCTCTTTGGTGTCTCTGAATTGTCAGCATCGTTGCTCTCGTGCTTTGGGTAAGGTGACCAGACGCCCCGCTTTTGGCAGGACAGTACAGATTTTTAACAATTCGTCCCGCGTCCTGCAGGACAAAAGCGGGACGTCCGGTCACCTCCGCTTTGGGGTCAGTAGTAAGTGAAATAAGGGCGACTTGAGCACAAGCACTCGGACACAGCGACAGTCTCCTGATCACCGAGGAAGCCACTCGGTGACTGAGTGGGGAGCGCACACAGTGTGGCTATCCTGGGCCGGGGGGCAGTTCACATCTGGACGGCTTGGAGCAGGAGGGTGTGAGGTTTCATGATGCTTCTTAAAGCAGCACACGGTCTAAACTTACGGATTGTTTTATTTTCCATTCAGTATTTTCAGACCAAGGTTGACTGCAGGAAAGTGAAACCAGGGAAAGGGGGGGATGACTGAATGCTAGGTCCCTTGGATGTAGGGAGTTTGGCTTCCAGATGTTCTCTTACTGGCAGAATAGAGTGTGTGTGTGTGTGTGTGTGTGTGTGTGTGCGCATGCGCGCGCACGTGTAAAATAATAGTTTAATTCACGCGCTCTGTAAGTATTGTACTCAAGGTTTTAGAGATATAGGGAAGAACAAAATAGCTGGAGCTCCTCTCCCCTTGGATTTTACTTTTCATTAGGGAAAACAGACAAGAATCAAATATCTTCTGTGATGTCAGGCAGCGGTAAATGACATGAAGAAAATGAAAACAGAGGGGTAGAATTGGACCAGGGACGCTCCTCTGGATAGCATGGTCAGGGATGCCTGATGAGAAGGTCCCTCCTCTCGAAGGCGTGAGGGAGTGAGCCCTGCGATGATTATCGTAAGAAAGGGTGTCTGGGGCAGAGAGGAGCCTGGGAGAGGCCCCGGGATGTGAATGTCTGGAATCTGGGAGGCGCAGTGAGGGTGTGGTGCATGGACCATGGACCTAGGAGGACTAGGAAGGGAGGTGAAAGCAGTGGCAGAAACATGTCATAGAGGGCCATGTGGGCCGGTCAGGAGTTAGACTAAAACATCAAAGAAAAGTCCCTAGACAGAGAAGGGACGTGATGTGGCTGTGTGTTTGTAGATCTCTCGGGGGGCCAGTGGAGGATATGCTGTAGGAGTAACTCTGTGAAGCGAGGAGTCCCGTCGGTGTCAGAAACGCGGTGTTTTGGAGCAGGGGGACAGCAGTAGAAGGGCGAGGGGTGGTCCGTGTCTGGATCCTTCTGAAGAAAAACCTAACAGGTGTGCGATGGACTAGTTGCAAACCGTCCGGAATGACTTGGTGAGGTGGGTGGCGGTGCCCTTTATTGTGATGAAGGGAGCAGCTTTGCTTGGAATGTGACCTCTCCGAGGAGAAGTCTGGCAGCATTTAGAAGCACTTGTCTGGGCTTCAGAGAAACTGGAAGTCAGCAGGTTCCAGATTGCTTTCCAAACCGGGGACTGGGTGAGGTTTCCCAGGGACCAGTGTGGGCGGAGAGGCCTGGGGAGGCCCTGCTGCTCTCTGTAACCTCAGAGGCAGGGGAGGGGGAAACCAGAGGAGCAGGGGGTGAGGAGGAGCAGCAGCAGTGGGCGAGGAGGAGGAGCAGCGGGGGAGGAGGAGGAGCAGCGAGTGAGGGGGGTCAGGAGAACCAGGAGCAGGTGCCTGGGAGCCAAGTGCAAGCTGCGCCAGGGAAGAGCCATCGCTCTGTCACCTGCTCTGGGAAGCTAGTCCAGGCCGCCCTGCGGAGGGACTCTCACTGGACTTGGTGGCAGAGATCATGTGCATCTCCTGTGACCTTCCAGGAGTGTTCTCGGTCACGTGGTTGGGGGAAACCTGTCCTGGACGCAAGAGAAAGTGCAGTGGGCTCTTGCACAGAGTGTTACCACAGACAGGAATGGGGACGTGGCGCGGCAGGTGTGACCCCCCTGGAAAGGGCTTGTTTCCAGGGGGAGAGAGAGCAGTGTGTCCTCAAGGGAGTAGCGAATGGCTGCTGGGTGGGGGGGGTGCATAGCTGTGCCCTAGGAGGGTGCCTGGTCTGGGAGCCCTGCAGACCCTCCGCCCAGCAGGAGAGCAGGCAGGCAGAGAGGTTCAGTGTGAGGACAGTGCTGGCTCTGGCACATGTGTTGCTTGTTTGACACTGTTACAGACACACAGTGAAGGACAGATGACCTGGTAAGAACACTGTGTGACCAGATCAAGTTACTTGATGTTAATGAATGTGTTTCATGCCCAGTTTTTGTTGTTGTTGTTGTTGTGTGTTTTTTATTGATTTTTTACAGAGAGGAAGAGAGGGATAGAGAGTTAGAAACATTGATGAGAGAGAATCATCAATCAGCTGCCTCTTGCACACCCCCTACTGGGGACGTGCCTGCAACCAAGGTACATGCCCTTGACCGGAATCGAACCTGGGACCTTCCAGTCCGCAGGCCGACGCTCTATCCATTGATCCAAACCGGTTTCGGCCGTTTTATCCATTTTTTTTTTTTTTTTTTAAGAAAACAGGCACTTAGATTAGCTTCCTTCACCTGTCTGTTTGCTTACTTGGTACACATGATTCCTTGTTGCCCGGATTCATTTCTTTTTAATTTAATATTTGTTAAACATCAGAATCTTGCAACTGCACTGATGTTAATGTGTGTGGTTTTGGAAAGTGGAGATTGTGTAACAATGATTTAAATTCAATTCATAATAACTGAATTGTTAGTAACGTATGACGATGAAATTTTTTATTTTACAAATACTGATTTTCCCCACCTCAGGTATTTTTCATTAAAGAACACAACATTGTTGCACCGTATAAAATAGAAAGAGTAAGTAAAGCTTTTCTTTTATTCCCGGGAATTAATAGAGTGCTTTTGAACAATAAGACTTTGTGACTCTATTATCATCTTTAATAAAATATAACAATAATGGGTATTTTAAAAGCTTGTTACCTAACAATTACAACAGAATTGCCCAAGACAATCACAGATTTTAGTCCAAGAGATTTCAATGAACTTTTTGACTTAAAAAAGGGTTTAATAGACAAAAAAAGAGCTTAAGTTATTAGAATAAAAGTTGAAATCGAACATACATCATTTATAAGATTGCTGCATATGGTGGAGAATTTGTTTTTTGAGAAATATGGTTTATAAAATACGCTTATTTGAGAGCTCAATAATAATTTACAAATTCTCTTAATTGGATGGAAGCTATGAGTGGACTTGAATACAGTATCTAATAAGTGAGCTTAGACATCGTTTTAACCATTCTGTGTTTTATTTAATCCCTTATGCTTCAGCTTAATGTACAGGAAAGGGATAGTTCCTCGAAAAGAGAATTTTATAGGACCTGGCGTCAGGGCTAGTGCTCCTTATGCTGACTGATACCTCTGTGGCAGGAACAGTCGCCCTCTGATCTGGGGAAACACAGGCTGACGTCGGCCCAGTCCAGGCCAGCCCACGGTTCCTCACCAGCAGCTTATGGAGTGCCAACTCCATTCCGTGGCCTTTGGGTTTTCTGAACAAGGAGTAGTCACATGCACCAGTTAGTCCAAAACTACAAATACTGAGGTGTTATGAGGGGGTGCAGTTGGATTTGGGGCAGGATAGTTCTTTATTGGGTGGGGCTATCCCTCATACAGCCTATTCTCATCCCAGAAAGCCCTAATACACTGTTTCCCCATTGTGTGTGGCACCCCATCACCTCCCCCAAGTTGAGAACACTGCCTGTGGTGCTCTCCCTCTGAAGGCTGTCCTCACAGCCACCTTGAAGTGCAGAGCTGCACTCGGGCTGTTGGAAAATCATGCCGAAGGAAATGAGTGAGGTTGAAGCAGTGAGCTCTTCTATTCCAATGTGGATTAGAAAGCCAAAGGATCCTCAGAGTTAAACAAGGGGGAGATAGTGACATCAACGGGGATGTCAGGCAGGAAGCCCCAGACCCTCGCTCCTCTCATGGAGAGTTCCTCTCAGCAACTATCCATGGACCAGCTCCCTTTGTGAGCAATTAAGAACCAATGAAGAGCCTGCCGCACGGCAGGTCAGCCTCATTGGAGCTGGTAGGAAAGTTAGTTGCGCCCCCCAGCACAGTGCCATGGGACTGAGAGGAAACTCCCAGCTCCCCACGGCTCCCTGGGGAAGGAAAGGCAACCCTGGGCCATAGGCCCTCTGTTCTGACTTTCGGGGGCAGCTGCCTGAGGGATTGGCTTCTGTCTTGCCTGCCTTGGAGCATTGACAGGACCCGGCCTACTCGAGATGCCTGGGACCACTGAGAGCAAGAGCAGGCTGGGCATCATGCTGCTGCCCCAGAGCCCTGAGCACAGCAGACAGAGGCCTGTGCAGCGAAGCAGACTCCCCCGGGGGCAAGACGAAAGGAAGGAGAGCATGGGACACACCTAAATTGACCATCACAACATATAGGCACCCAACCTCAGTATATGCACCCACATATATGAAGCTAACATTGACAGAATTGGAGGGAGGCATTGACAACAACACAGGAATAGTAAGAGACTTAATGCCCCACTTCAATAATGGATAGATCACCCAGATAGAAGATGAATGAAGAAACGGAGGACTCAACACTATAGACCACATGAGCCTGACAGACACATAGAGGGCATTCTTCCCACCAGCAGCAGAATACACTGGAACCTGCTTCAGGGTTGATCACATGGTAGGTCACCAAAACAAGTTTTCTTGTTTTATATTGATTTTTAGAGAGAGAGGAAGGGGAGAGGAAGAGAGAGAGACATTGATGCAAGATTACAACATTGATCTGCTGCCTCCTGCACATCCTCCACTGGGGACTGATCCCTCAACCTGGACATGCGCCCTGACCTGGAATCAAGCCGGCAGCGTTTCAGTGCATGGAACGATGCCTAACCGACTGAGCCACACTGGCCAGGGCCAACACAAGTTTTAAGGAATATAAGAAGATTGAACCCATACCAAGTACCTTTTGCAACCACAACGAAGCAAAATTGGAAATCCGTAGCAGAAGGCAAATTCACAAGTATGTGGAAATTAGCACTCCTGAGCAACCAGTGATTCAAAGGAGAGAAATGTAAAGGGAAATGTAAAAATATCACAAGACAAACAAAAAGACAACATAACAAAACTCACAGGGTGCAGCAAAAGCAGTACTAAGAGGGAAGTTTGTGGTGATAAGCACCTACATTATAAAAGAAAGATCTCAAATGTTAAAATCTTAACTATACACCTCAAGGAACTAAAAAAACCCCAAAAGCAGCAAACTAAGCCCAAAGTTAGCAGAATCGAGTGTGGAGTAAATGCAGCAGTAAACCCGATGGGCTCTGCTCCCCGGAGCTCTCCTTCTGGGTGGCGTGAGGGAGGACACACCAGGTGGATGCTTGTGGCCCTCAGCCTGGAATTTGCAAGCGCTCTTCACTCGAGGTTTTGGCGTGCTGCATCTCCTCCTCTGTTTGCATCCTTTTCCCTTGTTGGTAGGGCAGAATGGAGTATGTCTTTGAACTGGATGTTCCAGGGAAAGTGGAAGATGTTGTGGAGACGTTGCTTCAGGTAAGCCGGTGCCTAACTCGGGCATTTACTGGGCTGAGAATTCAAAACTCGGGCAGAAACTTAAAAATTTTATATTTATACATCTTACTGAAACCCTAATCCTATCTAATAAAGGAGTAATATGCAAATTGACCATCACTCCAACATACAAGATGGCTGCCCCCATGTGGACACAAGATAGCCGCCATAAGATCGCCAGCAGGGGAGGGAAGTTGGGAGGGATCTGGTCTGCAAAGGAGGGCAATTAGGGGCAAACAGGCTGTCAGGGGAGCAGTTAGGTATCAATCAGGCTGGCAAGGAATGGTTAGGGAGTGATCAGGCTGGCAGGCAGAAGCGGTTAGGGACAATCAGGAAGGCAGGCAGGCTAGCAGTTGGGAGCCAGCAGTTTAAATAGGCAGTTGGACATCCCTCCAGGGGTCCCAGATTGGGAGGGTGCAGGCTGGGCTGAGGGACACACACCCCTGCACACAAATTTTGTGCACTAGGCCTCTAGTCTCTTTTATAAACATTAATCAGATTTACTTGATTATGTTGACTTTGAAAACTGTATATTAGGAAGGAGCCATACATATATCAGATGCAACCTTAACTGTTACTAAGTAACAGATGCTTGCTGTTATTTCATTGCTTCTAAGGAAATACCTTTATATCATCTGAGAGAGAGAAAATATAAATTCATGTATATTTATAATATTGTAGCTTCACCGAGCATCCTGCCTTGACAAACTAGGGGACCAGACTGCTATGGTAAGAGTTTCTAAAGATCTGTATCTTTATTATGAATTTATTTGTATTGGTTTTCACTTATAAATACTTACATCCATACTTTGCAAATGGTTCTCTTTTCATAGATAACGGCTATTTTGCAGTCACGTTTGGCGAGAACATCATTTGACAAAAACAGGTAAGGGTTCAGTGATTTTGCTTACTTGTTATAAAAGCAGCAGCATCTTCATCTGTTGGCCTCGCTCAGCATGTCCAGCCTGGTGTTGTCATCTGCCTCACCCCACGCCTGCGTATCTGGGGGGATGGCCCCACCCCAGTGCAGGAGCCCTGTCAGGGGCTGCCTCCTCTCTCTCCATCTTGGCACCTGTCAGTCAGAAAGGCCGGTAGATGAGGCCCTCTAACATCCTTTCTGTCTGTCAGCTCGTCTTTTCCCACTCTTACTGCCTCAGTCCAGGCCACCACCCCCTCCCACTCCGGACACTGGGACAGCTTCTAGCATGTCTACCTGACACCAGTCTTCCCTTCTCCAACCCCCTTCCCCGCACTGTACCTATTGGACTTTTAAAATACGCTCTTCTGCCCTAGCCAGTTTTTGCTCATTGGATAGAGCATCAGCCCATGGACTGAAGTATCTCAGGTTTGATTCCGGTCAAGGGCATGTGCCTTGGTTGCAGGCCACCTGGGGCAGCAACCAATCCATGATGCACCTCTCTTACATCGGTGTTTCTCTCTGTCTCTCTCCCTCCTCGCCACTCTAAACATCAATGGGGAAATATCCTTAGGGGACGATTAACAAAAAATAAGAAACTAAAAAAATAAATAATACGTTCTTTCTGAAGAATGTACGTAATGGTATCACCTGTTTGTTTAAACCCTTCAAGACTGCCCGTTGCCTTCAGGGTAAAAAATCTTAATCTTAGTTGGGCGCACAGTCCGCTTAGGTCCCCGTCCTTGTCCAGGACGCCCCGCCACTGCTCGCTCTCGGATTCCACGCTCCAGCTCTGCATCGTGTGCAGTTCCTGAGTGTGCCACACGGTCTCTCTCCTCCGGGACTGAGTGCGTGTTCCCTCCATAAGAGTACTCTGTTCTTTTGCACCTGGCTGGCTCTTTCTGATTCTTCTGATTTCAGCTTAGCTGTCCGTGTGTCCAGAATGTTTGTCTTGGCCTTTCAAATTGTGATAGGTACCTTCTAGAGCACATGTGTCAAACACAAGGCCCGCGGGCCAAATCCGTCCCGCCAGGCCTTGCAATATGGCCCGCACCGCGCTGTCATCACTGCACTCCGCTGCGTTTCCATCACAATGACAGTTTATGACTGTTCAGTAAACCATTCGGCCCGCGATTTAGGCTGGATTTTAGATTTTGGCCCCTTCTCTGATTGAGTTCGACACCCCTATTCTAGAGGTATCTTCTGGGGACCAGGAGACTACATTTTTATTGGTCTAATGTGTTTTGTTTTGTTTTGTTTTAAATTATTATTGACTTTCTTAGCTTTTCTAAGTATATAGTGTATTTTCTGGAAAGAGTTATACTTGAATACCAACCTGTTCTCTATTTGGCTGTCCAAATAATTTACAACAGGATAGCAGAGAAATCATCATTGATTAGTTTTACGGTAGTACATCCACAAAAGAATGTACAGGTGACACTTGGACAAAGTTCTGACAACCCCACATAGTCAGAACTTAACTACTCAGAGCTATTTGTTGACCCAAAGCCTTACTGATCACATCAAGTTGATTAATGCATATTTTGTACGTTATATGTATTGTATACTACACAACAAAGTAAGCTAGAGAAAAAGTGTTAATCGTAAGGAAGAGAAAATAGATTTACAGTATTTATTGGGGGGAAAAACAAATTAGGTAAGTGGATCTTTGTAGTTCAAACTGTTGATCATGGGTCAGCTGGGCTTTGGAACTGACATTCAAGTTACTGTCATTGTGTCTTCATAGTCTTAAGTGTAGTGTGAAATAGATGCCATCTATGCAAACATGGCCTATATGGCTATGAAAGTAGGCTTTAAATTTAGAAAGAGAGAAAATCTTGTTAATTTGAGAGTAGTTTCTACGTCAGTTTATTTTGAGCTAATGGGTTATTTGACTTCATTTACTTGTCTATCCTTCTTTCTCAGTACATAACCTCATCTGTTTTTTAAAAGTTGAATTTTCATTTTACCATTTACAAGATTGCCTGTTTTATTTGTGACCAACTTTGTGATGCTCACCAAACCCTTCAGCGGAAGCAGCGCTGATTTGTATTACCATTTTGTAGAAAGTCTATGTTCAGACAAATCTTACGCCAAGTCACACTGTAACTCTTAGGTAAAGTTAAACCTGGAAAGTAGATCGGTTTCTGATTCCTTTTTTTTTTTTTTTTTTCTTTTGCTGAAATTATCAGGTTCCAAAATGTTTCTGAAAAGCTGCACATGGAATGCAAAGCAGAAATGGTGACCCCTCTGGTGACAAACCCCGGCCACGTGTGCATCACGGACACCACCCTGTATTTCCAGCCTCTCAATGGCTACCCGGTACGTGACGGCTGCTCGGGCGGGTGGAGAGTTCCATTAGCACTGGGCGCTTCCCCTTATGCTCTTTCCTGTGGACGGGACCTCCCCATCACAGCGTGCTCACGTGTTGGTGAGGATCAAAACGACGCCCCCTGCCCCGCCATCGACTGCGTGCTTAACAGGCTCCCGGTGTGATCCCGAGGAATCTGAGTGTGAGCTCTCCTGATCGGCTTGCATTTGGGGGTCACTGGCTCTCGGTGTTGTGAAAAGAAGCCCTGCCCCTCCCGTCTTTAATAAAGGCTCGTGAGAGTGTGATACCTTTCTGCTCGGAGGCACTTCTGCAAGAGACAAATGAAGTAACATCAAGAGCACGAAGAAATGCATGTTTTCTCTATATCTGCCTGGGTTGGTACTTCTTCTTTTTCCTCTATTGCCAACCAAGTCGGGGAATCTGAATCTTTCCCTAAAAGGCAGTTGGAAGTGGTCCTTGCCCAGCCAGAACAGGTACACACAGCGATGCTGCAGGGGGCAGCTGCAGGGCTAGAATCCCTTTCACAGTGACGTTAGACTTCCTAGGCCGGTAAGTGAAAATAGCTCAGATCTCCACACTACATCTTCTAGGGACCTGTTGCTTTATCTAGATCTCGCCCCTTTGGGGAGTGGCTCACTGAGGGAACAGAAATCCTAGTGTGCTCTGATGGTGCCACTGGGCCAGTTAGCAGGGAAGTTTAAAGCACAGGAGTGATTCCTGCCACAGGCTATACCCTGGAAGTGCTCCAGGCCGGCCAGTCCTTACTACATGGCACTAAAGCTTCTAGTACTTTTCCAAGTGAAAGATGATGCTGTAATAATTCTGTCCACCAGGTGGTGGGCCACTCTTGCCAAACCCTCTGATGGAAGCCATGCACATTGCTGATGGGCATTCTCTAGCCCAGCAATAACATGGGCTTACCCACTACTGTTACTATGGCTCAGGGTCAACAACTTTTGGGAAAATAGGAGTATGTGCCATAGCTTCAGGATTCATGGTATGAGCATTGATTCCCTTCTACTCAGAAATAAGAAAATGAACTTGTCACCTTTTAGCCAGTCTCACTGTCTTTTCTAACCTCATTCATCTCTTACTAGCATTTTAAGGTTTTCAAGAAGGAAGAAAATTGCCCTCCTTATGAAAGAAAAAGTTTAGAAGCTCTGCTTTATACTATAATTATCCGTGAGCCTTAATACCTGATAGTTTTTAAGGAGACAAAAGTTCTAAAACAAGATGAGTGAGTACTAAGGAAACCATTGCTCTATAAAAGGATAGAAAAATTCCTGAGAGTTTATCTGTAATGAATCCTTTTTTTTAAAAAAAAAATGTTTTTTATTGATTTTTAGAGAGAGAGGAAGGGAGAGGGATAAAGAGAAATATTGATGAGAGAAAAACACATCATCAGTTGGCTGCCTCCTGCACATCCACTCCTGGGGATTGAGCCTGCAACCCAGGCATGTGCTCTGACTGGGAATCGAACTAGTGAACTCTTGGTTCATGGGCAGATGCTTAACCATTGAGTCACACCAGCCAGGTTCTGTACCAATCCTTTAGTATTCCATTAACACTCAACACCCTTGCGATAACCTGCCATTGCCATGTTTTTGGTGCCAAATGGAGGTTGGGAGACTTGTCCAAGGTCACAAAGCCAAAGAAAAAAAAGGGGGGGGGGGCAGGCTGGAATGTTAAACCAGATACGTCTTCTTTAAGATCTCTTTCCAGTTGTTCACCTTGTAACATCAGGAAGGCAAGATTTGGTCATCTGGTTCCTTGTTCTGATACTAAAGACCCACTTCCTCTAACTGTGTCGGAATGTTGACCTTTGAGATGGTCTCTTTGCTTTTACAGAAGCCCGTGGTCCAGATCACACTCCAGGACATCTGCCGCATTTACAAGAGGAGGCACGGCCTCATGCCTCTGGTGAGTTCAAGTGGCATGCCAGTCCCAGGTGAATGGTTGTCCTCGTTTCAGTTTAACCAGTGAGCTGTTAATGTATAAACCCCCGTGGCCTGTCTGGACTTGTAAGTATGTTGTGTTGTAAGCAAGTGGACTCTGGGTCCTGCTGCTCTTTCTTTTGGATGAGCTAGAATTTTTTTTTTAATTCATTTCTTTATTGATTAAGGTATCACATACTTGTCCTCAACCCCCCATTCCAATCCCCTACTCCCCCTTATGCCCTCACCCCGCTATTGTCCTTGACCACTGGTTAGGCTCATATGTGTGCACACAAGTCCTTTGGTTGATCTCTCCCTTTTATCCCCACCCTCCCTTTGAGATCCAACAGTCTGACTCATGGCTCCTTATCTCTGGGTCTGTTCTTGTTCATCAGTCTATGTTGTTCACCATTTCCCCTAGATGAGTGAGATCATGTCCTACTGGAAATATACTTATAAGGGAGTTAGACATTTGTAAAGGAATAACTCCTTTCTCTGCACAGGAAGGCTGCTGTGGGAATATTTTTGGCTTTTCCTACTTATTTAACTTAAAAGGATACTCTTCATTTATAGTGCTAGTAGAGAATTATGGACGTATACTATTGAAAATTACCTCCTTTGGGTATAAAGACACAGTCAGAAAAAGAGAAGAAATTGACATTAAGTGTTTTCTGTGTCCTGGGAAATTTATGTACAATATTTGTTGTTATAACAGTCCCTGTGTGGTAGATGATATTCTATTTTTATAAAGAAATTGAGATTCTAAGAGTTCCTCTGTTCCTTAACTAGTAAATGGTAAAAGTCTGTATTTGAACCAAGAACAAGTCTGCTTTTGTCATTTCTTTGTCTATTCCTGTCCTACCTCAGGCTTATGAATACAACATTCACAAAGCTGAGTTTTCTTAAGGATAACTGCAAGTCGCCCTGCCCGTTGTGGCTCATTTGGGTGGGCATCATCCTGCCTGTTCTATTCCCAGTCAGGGCACATGCCTGGTTGCTGACTCAGTCTACAATAGGGCACGTGCAGGCGGCAGTCAGTTATCAATGTTTCTCTCTTCCTCTCCTTCTTCTTCTCTCTCTCTCTAAAATCAGTAAAAACATATTTTAAAAAATAACTGCAAGTTATTAGTTGAATAGTTATTCAAGTATCAGTTCGTTAGATTGACATAATTTAATTATAATAGAAAGCTAAACATTTATATTTGAAGATGTTTGAAGACATGGATCAGCCAATTCTGAGTTTCAAAATACTAAATTCACAAAAGGTTTTATCAATAAAAATGATTAACACTAAAAGGAATTTTACAAAATTTAAAGATACAGGTCTTGTTCTCAAGGAAAAAAAAAAAAAATATATATATATATATATATATATATATATATATATATGAATCAAATTTAAAGCTGGAGAACATGAATACAAGAGCTACAAGTAAAATAAAATGTAAATGTTTAATCGGAAGGCTTTTGTGATTGTATAGCTTATATTGCAATTGCAAGATTAATGAAATGCTATTTGTTTTATTCCTTTCTTTCTGAATGTGTAGGGATTGGAAGTGTTTTGCACAGAAAATGACCTGTGTTCTGACATCTACCTAAAGTTCTACGACCCTCAAGATCGAGATGAACTCTATTTTTATATTGCCACGTATCTAGGTCTGGTGTTTACCCTTCGTTGTTCTATTCATAGGAAGATAGTTCAACTCCTAAGTGGCCAGGATAGGAAATAAGAGAAGGGAAAAGAAAAAGGCTGGATCTGGAACCACCCTTCTGTGGTTCTTCCCATTGCTTCTCCATAGTAACTACAGTTGGCATTTAAAAAAAACAAAAACAAAAGAAACATAATTGAATTTTGGCAATAGTTTTATTACGTGTTTTAAAAACTTGATAAATATATTTTAAAAATTTTTTATTTTAACAACACATAAATTGAATGGATTATAAAGACTCCCCTTAGTTATTTCTATGTCCAGTCATGTCTTATATTAGTTTATGAAAACCGAGATTCAGTTCCTTAATGTGAGAGGCAGTGAGCTCTCCAGTCATGTGTTTGTGTTCATTAATTGTGGTCTTAATCCCGACGCTAGAAAACGATACAAAAGAAACATGTGAACCTCGAGGCTCAGTATAATACCCGTGGGACTGAATTTGCTTTTAATTAGTATTTCCTCAGTCTTCCATGGAAAGTGTGAATTTTCTTACCCTAGTTAGAGGAACACCTGTATTTCTCTTTTCAGGCATACATATAGTAATTTGTATGGCTGACTGTAATTATTCTTGTTTACAAAGTTGCTAGATGACTAGAATAGAATGGCTTCTAAAAGTAGATGTTGGGATTTTTATTAATACCATCTTAATTTTGTTTGCGCTTCTGGTGTACAGTGAAGCGAAAACAAACTGTACCTTTTATTTTTTCTTCTTAAAATGCACTTCTCAAAAATGCATTGAAAAGACCTCACTTAAAGTATCCAGTGTGTCCTTGCTAAGTAAAACTTGGCCAGCGTCTGCCACGCTCGGTGGTGACCATGCCGGCCTGTCCTCCGCAGAGCACCACGTGGCGGAGCGCACGGCCGAGAGATATACGCTGCAGTGGCAGCGCGGCCACCTCTCCAACTACCAGTACCTGCTGCACCTCAACAACCTGGCCGACCGCAGCTGCAATGACCTGTCCCAGTACCCGGTGTTCCCCTGGGTGATCAGCGACTACTGCAGCTCCGAGCTGGGTGAGTGCCTCCCAGCTCCTCTTACAGGCGAGAATCATGGTTTGTCGTAGACTTAGGATGTGATCTATGAATAGATTAGAACCCATTTTAACTTTATTACTAAAGATTGCTAGTTGTCATTTCAATATTAATATAAGTTATATGTGGGTTTTTTGTTTTGTTTTCTCCACTGTCTCTTAATTTTCTTAATCCAAAAAATAGTACTCACATATTCTTAAAGGACATGCCCAGGAAATCTATACTTATAAAAAAAAAGTAATATGCTAATTAGACCGGGTCCACCATCTTCTGGATGTCTGACTTCATTCTGGACAAAGCCATGGTAGTAGAGGCATTTAGGGTGATCAGGCTGGCAGGAGAGGGTAGTTGGGAGCAATGAGGTTGGCAGGGGAGGGCAGTTGGGGGCAGCTAGGCCTGCAGTAGAGGGCTATTGGGGGCAAACTGGTCAGCAGGGGAAGGCAGTTGGGGGCAATCAAGCTGGCAGGGGAGCAGTTAGGGTTGATCAGTCAGACAGGTTAGTGATTAGGAGCCAGTTGTGCCAGATTGTGAGAGAGGTGTCCCCAAAGGGCCCCTCATTGTAGAGGGTGCAGGCTGGGCTGAGGGGAACCCCCCATGCATGAATTTTGTGCACCAGGCCTCTAGTATGCATATAATTTTAAAAATTATTTATTGTTTAAAGTATCACATATAGTATTACATAGGTCTCCTTTCCCCCCCCCATTGGCCTCTCCCCGGTCACCCCCACCCCATATGCATATAATTTTAAGCCATATAATCATTACTATCTATAAATACCAAGTTTTGAAATGCTGTAGTTTTTCACTTTGAACATTGTCTCAGATTATCCTATTTTAAAATTTACATTTAAATGTGATTAACAAACTAATAACTGTTCATTATAGGACATTTAGAATGTACTAAAATATTTTTAAAAGGAAATAATTATTACATTACTGAGAGGTAACCATTTTAATTTTGTGGTATATGTACTTCTCTCATCAAATTATTTTAACAAAAATAGTGATTGTATTGTGATTTTATTTTTTAATACTTAAAAATTATATAGTGTGAACAATAAATTCCTTTGGAAATTTCACTTATTGAACTCTGTACTTGAAAGAGATAACAAACTTTCTAGGAATATGATAATTTATTTCTCTGATAATACTCAGGTCCTCAGTTCTCAAATTATGCTGTTATTAAAGTGTATATTTGCTGTAATTCAAACTTAAAAAGTAAATCTTAGTAGAAGAATAATGGGCTTTTATTTTATTAAAAAATATATTTTATTGATTTTTTACAGAGAGAAAGGGAGAGAAGGATAGAGAGTTAAAAACATCAATGAGAGAGAAACAGATCAGCTGCCTCTTGCACACCCCCTACTGGGGATGTGCCCGCAACCGAGGTACATGCCCTTGACCGGAATGGAACCTGGGATCTTTCAGTTCACAGGCCTATGCTCTATCCACTGAGCTAAACCAGTTTTGGCAATAATGTGCTTTTAAACTTTGTTTTTTGTTGTTGTTTTACTTGGAATATAGCTTTTATCAGTAGGCCTTTAAAAAAAATCCATATTTATGTTTTCAAATTGGAAATCACTTCTGAGAAGGGATGTTGCTAAATTAATACTCAAAATTCTCACCTTTACAGCTGTATAAGTAACTACCAGAAATACTGCAATCCTAAAGGGTCTATCTCCGTTTTTTAAAACTGTTTATTTTGTGGAAATAAAATGTGTACATGTGAATCAGTTCATGGCAGTAATATTGTTAAGTATAGGTTTGCTTGCTTTATTTATTCTAATTAATTAATCTTTTACAATGTATTTACTTATGTAGATTTGTCAAATCCAGGAACCTTCCGGGATTTGGGGAAGCCAGTAGGGGCCCTAAATAAGGAGCGACTGGAGAGACTGCTGGTACGTCTAAAAGGAACTTCCTGAACCAGGCCCATGTTTTCATAGTAACTGAAACTCATTTCATCCAGACTTAGTGCAAACATGTCCAGAGGGTTCATGTGTTTTGTTTTCACTCTTACTTCCCCCCACCCCTGTGCCTGCTGGCTTCCCCAGTGAATTTAGCTGCTCACTATTTGCTTCTTTTTTTTTTTTTTGCCTACAATACAGGAAGTGGAGGCTGACCTGATTACCAACGTACTAACGTACTTTCCTGAAGGGTTCTCTTTAGTAAACAGCACAAAAGTTGCCTAAAATCCCTTCCACCTTCCATTCCCCCATCCCAACATGGTTACCACTGCTTCAAGAAAACCAAAATACTTGTTATGGGAATGCTGTGTCTCTTCAGATTTTCCACCCGCTTTTTATCTTTCCTTTTCCTATGTAAGAAAGAAATTAAGGAGTATAATGTACTCATGCCGTGATTTCTTCTAGGCTTTTACTACATGAGTCACTTGTTATTTTTATTTATTTTTTTAAAATATATATTTTATTGATTTTTACAGAGAGGAAGAGAGAGAGATAGAGTGCTAGAAACACCGATGAGAGAGAATCATTGATCAGCTGCCTCCTGCACACCCCCTACTGGGGATGCGCCCGCAACTAAGGTACGCGCCCTTGACTGGAATGGAATCCGGGACCTTTCAGTCCGCAGGCCAATGCTCTATCCACTGAGCCAAACCGGTTTCAGTGACTTGTTATTTTCATAGCCAACACTTAATCTTTTTTTTCCCTCCTGTATCGTAGGCACGCTACCAGGAGATGCCGGAGCCGAAGTTCATGTACGGCAGTCACTACTCATCCCCGGGTTACGTGCTGTTCTATCTTGTCAGGATCGGTAAGACTCTTCATCCTCAACCCGCGTCAGTGCTATTTCACGTGGACTCTTCAGGGAACCTGTGTCTCATTAACTCCGCTTTTCCCCCTCCAGCACCAGAGCATATGCTGTGCCTACAGAATGGAAGATTTGATAACGCAGATAGGATGTTCAACAGGTTTGACACAAATGCCTCACCCACCATTTTTTAAAACTTCCTAATTATATATGCACAATATGTTTGTTTAAAAAAAAAAACTATACCGGGCCAAAAGTGTAAAGATATTCAAAAAGAATCATTGATTGTTATATCTAATCCTTTTAGGCTTTTTCTAGTTGTGTGTGTAAATCTGAATGTATTTTAAATAGTTTTTGTCCCACTTTTTGTATCGCATTAGATCTTGAAGTTTTCCCTATGTTATAAGATGTTTTTTTTTAAATAGTCTCACTTTTTAAGTTATTAGATCACATCCTAGTGTATGCCAGAATATATTTTAACTGTTTCTCTATTGTTGGACATTCAGGGTGTTTCCAACATTATTTCATTATTTTAAGTAATTTTTAAAAATATATTTTTATTGATTTCAGAGAGGAAGGGAGAAGGAGAGAGAGATAGAAACATCACCAATGAGACGATCATTGATCAGCTACTTACTGTACACTTCACACTGGGGATTTTAGCCCACAACATGGGCATGTGCCCTGACCGGGAATCGAATTGTGACCTCCTGGTTCATAGGTCAATAATTTTGCTATGAGTTGAATATAATTCCCTGTGGGTCTGTAAGTAGCTTTTTTTAAATTATAAAAGTAATACTTTTCAAAAAAAATCAGAAAATATAAAGAGGAAAATAAAGTTCAGTTAACATCTGTCCACACTGAGAGACTTTAAAAAAATATATTTTATTGATTTTTTACAGAGAGGAAGGAAAAGGACTAGAGAGTTAGAAACATCTATGGGAGAGAAACATTGATCAGCTGCCTCCTGCACACCTCTCCTACTGAGGATGAGCCCTTGACCGGAATCGAACCCGGGACCTTTCAGTCCTTAGTCCAACACTCTATCCACTGAACCAAACCGGTTAGGGCCACACTGAGAGAATTTTCATTAATCTTTGGTCTGTGTCTTTCCAATCGTTTAAGCTCTGCACATTTGTTTATAACTCCTTTTTGAGATGAGCTGTTAAAATAGTTGTGCTAATTTTCTAGTGTTTAAGCACCTGCCTGCATTGGTCCTTCAATGAGGCGGTGAGTGCAGAGGCTCCTGGCATGGACTTGTAGACATTCCATCTGGGCCTTTTCTGACTCCACACCCACTCCCACCTCTCCCCTGTGACCCTAGGATTTTTCTCTTCTGTGAAAGGGGGATTGAGTTAAGGAGAGAATGAGTTGATATAGGTAATATAGGTAGAACAGAGTGCAGAGAAAGCTCTGTGGCTGCTGTTTCTATACCCTTGAGTTAAAATCCTTTTAATTTTTTTTTTTAATTTTATTTAGTATTGCAGAAACTTGGAAAAATTGCTTGGATGGTGCCACAGATTTTAAAGAGGTAAGCAGTTTAAAGAGTTAATGATTCATGGGGCTGGTGTTTTCTAACTGCTTTAAAAAATGTTTGTTGCTATTTTTTTTTTTCTTTTTTCTTTTTCCACCTGGAACCTTCAGTTGATTCCAGAATTCTATGGCGATGATGTCAGCTTCTTAGTCAATAGTCTGAAGTTGGATTTGGGGAAGAGACAAGGAGGCCAGATGGTGGATGACGTGGAACTTCCGCCTTGGGCACGGAGTGAGTACCTCAGCACTGTGTGTGGCCTTCAGAAATTCCTTCCCTGGCAGTGCAGTTTCAGTGCGATTAATTATTTAGTTGCCTAGAATTGAAGAATGACAGTGTAATTCTCTACCTAAATGAGGCAAGATCAGTCTGATTCTAAATAAAAAATATTCTGTGAATCTAGGCTGTAAAAATATTGACATATTTGAGACACCTTGTAAATATTTCTCTCTTCTCCGCATCCAGCATGGCTAGAGAGCGATCCGGTTTCTGAGTAGGGACTGCTGGGGATTGAGAAAATGAAAGAAAGAGACAGACACAGAGATGGAAGGAAAAAGCTGGGGCTGGGTGGGACCACTGTCCTCTGACAGGGACAGGGACCCAGAGCCAATATAGCGTGCTTATTTTATACAGCAAAAAACAGGAAGTTTTACTGAAAGTCAAGACAAAGAAGAGTATGTGCATTCTTTTTCTTTTCTTTTTTTTTTTTTTTAAATACTTTTTACTGAGTTTTTATAGAGTGGAAGAAAGAGGGATAGAAAGCAAGAAACATCAATGAGAGAGAAACATCGATGAGCCTCTTGCACATCCTCTACTGGGGATGTGCCCGCAACCAAGGTACATGCCCTTGACCGGAATGGAACCTGGGACCTTTCAGTCCGCAGGCTGACGCTCATTCCTCTGAGCCAAACCAGTTTCGGCAGTATGTGCATTCTTGAGTGGGCCGAGTTGTATTCATTCCTGGTGCTTGGCTGGATTTAAAGAACAAAACCCACCTCCTGGCACCTGGGCTGAAGGTCAGGCTGACAACACTCCTGCCTCTGGTAAAGCCTGTTTCTAGGACGTGGTTTTGCCAACACCACTGGATTCAGCTGACCATAATTAAAGAAATGCCCACGTGCCTTCCCAGGTGCTCTCTGCAAGACCTAAATGTTGGGGAAATGATTTTGCCACTTTTTCTCACGACAAAAATGTATAGTTGATGTGATGGGGGCACAACGTCATTAAGAAATACGTGCCTCCTGCCCATCCGAGAATCTTTGTGTACATGTGGGTAGAGGGCAGAAACGAGGGAAAACAAAGCGGATGCTGCCATGTTCTGATAGAGTCTGATCTAACAGGCCCCGAGGACTTTCTCCAGAAGAGCAAAGAGGCGCTGGAAAGCAATTATGTGTCCGAGCACCTTCACGAGTGGATTGACCTGGTGTTTGGCTACAAGCAAAAGGGAAGCGAGGCTGTGGGGGCCCATAATGGTATGTCATAGTCACTGGAAGCTCATCTAGTGTTTGATGAAAATGAAACAAAAACAAAATGAGGGCCGAGTAGTCAAGTTTATTCCTTCAGCAGAAACTTCTGTCAGCGAACAGTGCCTACTGGCTCAGGACCCTGGTTTAGATACTAGGTAACAGAGGAGGAAGTCCTTTTGCCTAAAGAACATCTATTTCAGCAAGAGGTCTTCTCATTTTAGCAAGTACCCGCGATCCCATTCAAAAATGTGGAGGGGAATGTAAGATATGTACACAGATAATAATTTAATAATTAAAAAAAAAAAGTGAAGTAAAAAAGTTTTTTTTTTCAATTAAAATTCCATCAGGACATGATGGAACAGCGACCTCCGTTGCTATGAAGGGCCCCAGAGTTTCCTTTGAGTTGTGCTGAAAGAAACCTGCAGTAATGTACCTACTCATCTGTCTGGGTTCTCACCTGCCTCCAAGTTTCTCAGCGTTGATGACGAGGAAGTGGAGCTGGAAATTCTGGCTTGATTTCTCACAGACAGAGCAGAGGGCAGGGTGACCTTCTTCCCCTCAGGGGAAAATAAAGCTGACCGAGAAAAACACTGAGATAACAGGTCCTCTGACCTGCCAGTGAGATTTCTGCTCAGCCAAGGATAGATAATTCAAGTTGATATTGACTGAAAGTCGGATCTTATTAGTCTTTTTTGCAGAGTGAGAATCAGTTACTTGGAATAAAAGTTTAAAGTTGTTACTGGGTTTTAAAATTTTGAACAGAGTGTCTAACTCGGCAGTACATCTCTCAATGGTGTTTTCCTTCTCTCCTTCCAGTATTTCACCCCCTGACCTATGAAGGAGGTGTGGACCTGAACAGGTACTTATGTCTAGAAGGAACTTCTACTTGAACAAAATACCTCTTTAACTGAATGATTGATGCGCTTATTGGATAATGTTAAGATATGGAAAATTTATGAATTGTATCTTGCTTTTACTATTATGTGAGTTACTGAGCCTCAGGAAAAAAAGTTTTTTAAAAATCTTTGCTAAGGTTTAGACCAGCAGTTCTCAACCTTCCTATTGCTGCGACCTTTTAATACAGTTTCTCATGTTGTGGTGACCCCCAACCATAAAATTATTTTCGTTGCTGCTTCATAACTGTAATTTTGCTATTGTTGATGAATTGTAATGTAAATATCTGTTTTCCAATGGTCTTAGGCTCTATAGCAGCCACAGGTTGAGAACCACTAGCAGGATTGCCTAAGACCATCAAGAAACACAGATTTTGTCAGGACCGGTTTGACTCAGTGGATAGAGTGTCAGCCTGCAGACTGAAGGGTCCTGGGTTCGATTCCGGTCCAGGGCATGTGCCTTGGTTGCAGGCACATCCCCAGAAGGGGGGCCTGCAAGAGGCAGCTGCTCGATGACTCTCTCCCATCGATGTTTTTTAACTCTCTCTCTCCCTTCCTCTCTGTAAAAAATCAAAATATATTAAAAAAAAAAATAGCAAAAGCTTAAAAAAAAACAAGGAAAAAACAAACAAACAAACACAGATATTTACATTACGATTCATAACAGTAGCAAAATGACAGTTATGAAGTAGCAACAAAAATAATGTTATGGTTGGGGGTCACCACAACATGAGGAACTGCATTAAAGGGGCGCGGCATTAGGAAGGTTGAGAACCACTGGTTTAGACCATCCTGATACACAGTGAGTGTTTGAAGCTCTCTCCTGTTGATCTGTTCTATCTGAAATGTGTGCTTGCAGGAAACTGGAACCCAGGGGCTCACGGCATTATTTGTGTTCTGTCCTAAAGGATCGAGGATCCTGACGAGAAAGTAGCCATGCTGACCCAAATCTTGGAATTTGGGCAGACACCAAAACAGCTCTTTGTGACACCACATCCTCAAAGGATCACCGAGAAGTTCAAAAGTTTGCCCCAAACCTCCTGTGATAACGTTTCCATATCGGATTCTCCAGGTAAATTTTGCAAAGAAAATAAATGTGAGCACCTTTCGTTTTTCTTTACGTCGTTTCTGACGATGCTGAAGAGGAAACATGAATGTTGTGCTGCTTAGAGAAAATGTTTTTAACATCTTATTGGTGGTCCTCTGGAAAAACAAAAACAAAAATCCAACCACCTGTTTTTTTGTTGGCGTTTTGTTTCTGAAAATCGAAGCCTGGCAGGATCTTTACTGTGATGGTTATGGTTCCATTTCTTCTCTGTGCTTTTCCCAGCTGGTGTTTGACTCTTTCTATTGATACATCCTGGCCACCTGGTGCTTTAACAGTCACCCTCTGCCCTACTCTTTCCCCAAAATTACTTCCTCCATTTCTGATTCCTCTCTCCATCCCCAGCTTACAGACCTTGAATTCAAGGTGCTCTGCTTCCTTTATTTTATTGTATTAGTCAAGCATTTGACAAACATTTGCTAAGTATCTGTTCTGTGCCAGGCGCATGCTAGGTGCTAAGATGAACGTGACACTGTCCTCACATCTAGTATTTGGAAAAGGCGGACTGTTCCCACACTTTCATCCAGTTACCCTTGTTTTAGTGTTTAATGTTTCACCTAAAACAGCCTCCAAGCAACCAACCTACTGGCTCTCAGGATTTTTACACTCTGTGGAACTTCAGGAGCAAAATCACTTCTTAATTATCTCCACTTCTGCTCCTGTACCAGGCCCATTCAGACTTTGTGGGCACACACTGCTGCAGTGAGCATGCTCTCAAACTGTGGAGGAATAGCTCACTAGAGTCACAGGACCCAAGGCTGGCTTGGGAGTATGTCTCTAAGCGAGATAACCCAACAGAGTTAAGTCATAAAGATCACAGGATTATCTTGTGACACCTCTTAAACCCTTGCTCTGCTGACTCACCAGGCTCACACCGCTGTCTTGTGATTATTTTAGAGGATAATTGTTCCAGCCCTACTGAAAACGGAAGTAAACGATTCCTCAGTCCTGGCCAGGAGCTCTTGGAGAAATTGCCTGCATCTTTGCTTTCTCCCCCTCAAAACCAAAACAACTGCAGCATTCTTAGTGAACCCTCAGATGTTTGCCAATATTATTGACAAGGAAATGGTTATTCGGTCTTGTATTTCCTGAAGTTCTTCTATTAGGGGCAAGCATTGATAAATGTAACAAAATACTCTAGTATTTAAATATACTTTTTAATCTTTCCGAATGGTTTTTATTTCTACTATACACTTCATTATTTTTCCTTAACACAGAGCTATCTAGTACATTTCAAAGCTATTACATTTTGGTGGGCTGTTTTGTTTCCATGGTTGCTTTATTTGAATAGAAGACAGTGTGACTCTGATGTGTTGTTATCTGTGATGCTTGTTAGTGATGGAGTTGACTCATGTGGCCATAACCTAATGTGCTCTCTCCAGGGGAAGAGTCTTTTGAGGACCTGACTGAAGAAAGCAAAAAACTGGCCTGGAATAACATAGCAAAACTGCAGTTGCACGAGCAACATAAACTCCACAAAAAGTAAGAATGTCTGTGTTGTCCTCCCGGAAGCTGACGTCTTGGCCTAGGGTGAAATTATTTAAAACCAGGTCGGTGTGGTTGCGTGGTTGAGCATCAACCTATGAACCAGGAGGTCACTGTTTGATTCCTGGCCAGGGCACATTGCCTAGGTTGCAGTCTTGATCCCCAATAGGAGGTGTGCAGAAGGCAGCTTATTGGTGATTCTCATCATTGATGTTTCTATCTCTCTGAAATCAATAAAAATATATGTATTTTTTTTAATTGTTTTAAGCTGAATCAAGGGGGAAGCTCTCTTTCATCTTGATTGTGTGTTTTTTTGTTTTTGTTTATCTCCTCCAAGTGTTTATAGTGATCAGCCTTCTGATGTCAATGTGGCAAGAGAACTTTTGGAACAAAATGGATTTGTGTCTGCCTCCCATGTTCTCATTTCTATAGTCGGTCCACCTAGAATTTTAAAAATTATAACTATTTCCAAGACATTGGGCTTCCTGCTGGACCTGGAGGGGTTACAGAGGTTCCCTGTTCTCTGCTATTAGGGATATTTTTATACTTTGGTAGAAAGACTTGAGAAGCACCGAAGTCACCTGATCCATCCTGTTACAGATTAAAAAAAAACACCCCCAGACCAGGCTCAGTGTCCTGCTCCTCCACCATAGACATCCTGTCTGACATTTTTGAAATCACCTGGGTGAAACACGCCAGTTTACTTTAGATTAGTGGTTTAAAATCAGAGTGCAACTTCCTGAAAAGAATATATGGTTCCTTATTCACTGTAACAATGGCCTTTTCTCGCCGAAACCAGTTTGGCTCAGTGGTAGAGCGTCGGTCTGCGGACTGAAGGGTCCCAGGTTCGATTACGGTCAGGGGCATGTACATTGGTTGCAGGCACATCCCCAGTGTGGGGTGTGCAAGGGGCAGCTGGTTGATGTTTCATCGACGTTTCTAGCTCTCTATCCCTCTCTCCTCTCTGTAAAAATTAATAAAATATAATAATTATGTATTCACTGTAAACAATGGCCTTTTCTCAGCTTCTCTAAATAACATCAATCCAAGGCCGTGAAGACACGGGTAAGCCTTTAACAGGATCTGCTAGACTGGTTCTGTCTGGACAGTGGTCTCATCATTATGCAGACTCTGGTAAATTCAATTCAGCATTCAAGCAGGGGAACTGATTTTTAAATACAAGCTTCAGTCCTTGGGGGATGGTCAAATAGAAGGGAAGTGAAGCAGTTTTCCAACTGTCGGAAATGTGTTCCACTTTGATTGTGGCAGCTCGGGAAGCTAAGAGTGGGAGTGTTTTCTAGCCACAAGTTCTGCCAGAACAAAATTGGAAGTTGCCTAGTGATGCTTTGGTAATGGCAGGTTGTCAGGTGGGACAGATACAGCAGGCAAGCTGTGAAGAAAAAAAAAAAATCACAAACTCGGTAAAATTAAACCAAGGGCTTGAAGGAGACCAGTGTCCTAGTGCACAATGGAGGTCATTCATAAAACTTTGTTTTCCAACAGGGCGGTTACTGGAATAGCAGTCTCTTGCAATGGCTCATCCGTCTTTACGACGTCACAAGGTATGTTTTCCCACCTGAAAAAATGGTAGCATCTAAGTTCCGGGACTCTAGGGTCAAGGACTGTACTTACATGTGCTGCCCCCACTTAAAATAAGCTCAGAGCAATTGATTTGTGGCATATTACCATAAGACGTCATTGTGGTTTGCCAAAAACGGTCCTGAGGAAGGCCTTTCCGTTGCTGAGGTTTCCCAAACGTCAAGGGGAAGGGCAGAGAGAGCTCACTCCCCAGCACGGAAGAAGGCAGCATCGTTGTCATCGTCATCCTGTAAGAGGCAGGAAGTTCTTACCTGTGTCTCTTCATTTTCAGATTACACCTTGAAAATGTTTTCCACAGAATCCAAAATGCTACAAAGAAGTATATCATTTTCAGATTTGGTGAGTTCATTTTCATTTCTAATCATGATAGAAATCCTGTAGCACTTTGTTTTATACACACTCTATAGCAACACTAGAGGCCCAGTGCACGAAATTTGTGCATAGAGCGGGGGCTGTCCCTCAGCCCAGCCTGTACCCTCTCCAATCTGGGTCCCTTCAAGGGGTGTTAAACTGCCTAATGGGCAGTCGGACATCCCTCTCACAATCCAGGACTGCTGGCTCCCAACTGCTCGCCTGCCTTCCTGATTGCCCCTCACCACTTCTGACTGCCAGCTTGATCACCCCCTAACCACTCCCCTGCCAGCCTGATTGATCCCTAACTTCTCCCCTGCCAGCCTGTTTGCCCCCACCTTCCCTCCTCTGGTGGCTTGGTCACCCCTAACTGCCCTCCCCCCTGCATGGTTGATTACCTCCAACTGCCCTGCCCTCCTGGTGCCTCACAATTTCCCTCCCCTGCTGGCCATCTTGTGTCCACATGGGGGCAGGATCTTTGACTACATGGGGGCAGCCATCTTGTGTGTTGGAATGATGGTCAATGTACATATTACTCTTTTATCAGATAGGATAAAGGCCTGGTGCATAGGTGGGAGCCAGCTGGTTTGCCCTGAAGTGTCCCGGATCAGGGTGGGGGTTCCCTTGGGGTGTGGGGTGGCCTGGGCGAGGGGCCTGTGGTGGTTTGCAGGCCAGCCACGCCCCCTAGCAACCCAAGAGCAGGCCCTGGTATCTGGAATTTACCTTCTACAATTGAAACTTTGGAGCCTGGAGTGGAGCCAAGCCTTCTGCTCACTCTGTGGCTGGCAGCCATTTCTGTTGGTATGTACTATCTTCTATAATTGAAACTTTGTAGCCTTGAATGGAGGCTTAGGCCAGCTAGGGCAGGCAGAAAGCTTGGCTTCCTGTTGCCTGGGAAACCTAAGCCTCCCTCCTGTTCTCTGTGGCTGTAGCCATCTTGGTTGGGTTTATTTGCATACTCAACCTGATTGGCTGGTGGGCATGACTTGTGGTATAGCAGAGTAATGGTTAATTTGCATATTGCTCTTTTATTGGGTAGGATTTTGTTTCTCACAAAAACAATTGTTGGTTCCTGTGTGATATTGAGAGAATGCCTTAAGATTACTTCTAAATTTAAATTTTTTTCAAGTTGCCTCTTTCTCACAATAATGTGATTTCATTAATAGCCTAAACAATTTGAACTGCTACCCAGCAGAATTCTTAACAAACCATTCCTTTTTGGGAACTGTCGGATGAATGTGTGTGTGTTACTTAAGTAACTTAATGCATTTCTCAGTTTGTGGGTTACCTACTGCTAGAACTCCAGTGATTCTGAAGGAGGACGTTTTACTGTGAATGTAAGTCACCTGAAAGATGTGAAATTCCCTGAAGAACATTGCAAGTTTTCCTTACCCACATAAATCTGTAATCCTAAGTCCCCAGGCCACCTCCCCCGTGACTTCCCCCACCGCTGAGGTTTCCCTCTGATGCTCCAGGGCCTTGCAGAGAGCCCTGAGCATTAGGCCAGTCCTGACATACAGACTTCCCTGCCATTGGGAGGAAACACTGCGCTTGGAATTAGCCGGTTGAAAAAAACTTGGGACTGTTTCAAAACGCTGACATAAACAGAATCTGAGCATTAATTTTGGGGGAATCTTGTATGGTGGTTTTGCCATGTTGGGGACTTACTATTGTAATTATTAATGTTGAATCGTTTGTATTTCAGGCATTATCGTCTTGTTTACTTTTACCAGGAGATGCCACTGTCATAAGTTCCTCATGGGATAATAATGTGTATGTATCTGTGCGTGCTTCTTTCTCATTCCACCCACATGCAACTGCCTCTGGGACGCCAAGCAGCAAAGGGCAATCTCCCATTGGCAGGGCACTTGTTCTCAAAAAGGAGCACATATTGGATGAGGGTAAAACTGTTGGATTTGAACATAATTATTTGAGTCTAGTAATTTCTCCAATTGGACTCTTTCTCTGTGTTTTAAAGTGAGGTGAAATCCTATTAGCCAGACTTGGAAATTTCTAGTTTTAAATTAAAATTTTCAGTATTTTTATGTGTTGAGAACAAGTAATCTGTAATTCTAGTGGGCCTTAATAAGTATAAAACATGTTTCTTGAATATGTGTTTAAGAGCCTTAAAATCAAGCTGAATGCTGTTCTAATAGTTCTCGTTATCTTTTATGTCAGCTATTTTTATTCTATAGCATTTGGAAGAAGCCAGGGCACATTAATGGGACATCAGGATGCTGTTAGCAAGATCTGTTGGCATGACAACAGGCTGTATTCTGCATCGTGGGATTCTACTGTGAAGGTTTATATATACTTTCTAACTTACAATGTTTGGATAATAAAAATACAAACCAACTGTTAAATGTTCAATTCAGATTTTTCACAAAGCCTGTAAGTGATACATAAGGATATTGAATATTACTGCTTTTTTTTTAAAAAAAAATGTATACTTTGCAACATAATAGGAACTTTTCATGATTTTTCTACTGTGTGTTCTGCTGAGTGTTGGGAGAAATGCAACGCCTTTTATCTAACACAATTGGGACTAGCAATTGATGAGTTAATCAGAAAATGTCAAGTGAAAAGTGGGGAATCATTAGGAGATAATGCATTTTATTAAACTTAAAACATACAAATGCACATTTATTCACTGTCCTGCTGAGGTAGGACCATATATGAATACCATATCAATACTCATCATTTTCGGTTTCCAATCTGCATTTGTGTAACAAGAAAGCAAAAACCTAAAACCATTAGAGTTCCTTCTAATTTTTTTTCAATATTTTCCTCCCATTCTTGTAGACAAGTTTCTTGCTTACATCTGTCATTTTTTAGTAACTTGCCTTGAGTCTTCTCAAGACATTAACAGACACTACAGCACCTATGTGCTCATATATCCTTAGTTTACACAATGCTTAAATTATGTAATTCCAACAGCAAGTGCAAGGGACGGGAACGGACACAGGTCCAGCATCTCTTGGTAAGCACAGAATGGCGGAAAAGGGACACGGAAGCATTGGGTAGCTTCCGTAGTTGGGACAAGTATTTTCAATGGATGTTGGTTAGTCAAGAGAGTTCTTCAATGTATTTGACATGCTCTTATTATATCACGTTTGCTAATACCTTCTGCATCTGTTCTATCCTAGGTGTGGTCTAGTGTTCCTGCAGAAATGACAGGCACCAAGAGACACCAGTTTGACCTGCTGGCTGAGCTGGAACATGATGTCAGTGTGAGTACTAAGTACGGGCAACAAGAGTGCATGAAAGCTGAGCTAAGTCCAGGAACTTGGGGGCCAGATTCTTGATTTTACTTATGTGTTTATGATCTTTTGCTTACTGATCATAGACTCCCAGTTCTTTGAGTTTCCAAGTCTACTTTGTCCTTTTTCCTCCCATTTGCTATTTCCCTGAGCACAACATTGAATATCTGGATATCCTCAGATTGTCTGGGCCAACAAGATGTGCCCCATCGTCTTTCCTATTTTCTGACACAGAAGGTAGAAGGGACCATCTCTCTAGGAAAATGCACATTCACCGCCAGGACACTGACCTTGTATTTGGCCCGTGTGTGTGCAGTCTGGGGCAGAACCAGGGCTGTCACCTGGTCCCTTTCACGCTGCTGTTCCCACTGTAGCATCCTAGGTTCTAGCTCCCAGTACTGCCCTTTCTCTGATGCTGGGAATTGATACCTAGTTTGCATGGTTGACAGATCAACTGAAGTCAAATATTTAGTATGTAATTCAAGATGGTTATTTAGGTATAACCTACCTGCCCTCATGCCTTACTCCCCCCCCCAATTTCTCAAATCATCCATCAGCTGTGTTTCAGGCCATTTGGCACATCTCTAACTTATCATTCATGGAATTAGACTGACAAGTTTAGGTTATTTTAAAACAGCATTACATTTCCCCAAATACTCTTCATTTTATTCACTAGCAAACAAAGAGTTTAGTTCTTAAGCTATCATTTAATAGGTGATGTTTAAACACATCTGCATGAACTATACCAGGACACTGTACCAGAGAGTTTAATCTGTATCATGATGCCCACATATTGGAACTGACCTAGGAAAACACAGCTTATGAGCCCAATTCTCAGTGGAGCACTTAGATGTTTTCTTCCTCAGGTGGATACCATCAGCTTAAATGCTGCAAGCACACTGTTGGTTTCAGGCACCAAAGAAGGCACGGTGACCATCTGGGACCTCACGACGGCCACCATACTGCACCAGATTCCGTGCCATTCGGGGACTGTGTACGACACTGCTTTTAGCCCAGGTAGTATTGTCCTTTTTAATACAGACGCTACAAAGTAGAATTTCTATTGTACTTTGAAATAAGAATGTAAAAAGAAAACCAATTTGAGGATAAAAGTAATTTGCCTATAGCTAGAGCGTCTTCATGGCAGAATACAGTATACTTGTGGCATTTGTTCCTACTAGAAAAGCTGTATTGGTTATTATTATTTATTCCTCCACTCACTAGAGAAATTAATTTGTAAGATTTGTAATTGCATCTGCCCAGTGTCTTAGAAACACAAGCATTTCCGTTTTTGTCCCTATTTGAGCCAAACCAATGACACATGTTGGCGAGCAAGATCTCAAATGCTCTAAAACAGAAGCATTTCAAGAGAAGATAGTGATTGGTTAAATAAAACAAGGAGCTCAAGGAAAATGAGAATGAACATTATTAGGCCACCAGACTCAGAAGTAAAATCTCAGGATAATGTAGTATGCTCTGAAGTTGTAACCTTTTATCTGTATCACTGTGTGTTACAGACAGTCGCCATGTCCTTAGCACGGGAGAAGACAGCTGTGTGAATGTAATAGACGTGCAGACAGGAATGCTTATCTCTTCTATGACTTCTGACAAGCCCCAGAGGTACATTTTTGGGGTTACTAATGGTGAAGACATTTACACACAAATTCATAAGCATGTGCCTTTGGGCTTAGTTTGGCCAATATAATATAGCTCTTCTATGAATAATGAAATGATTATTTCTAAACTAGAGGTCCAGTGCACAAAAATTATGCATGGGAAGGGTCCCTAGCAGCTGCCAGTTGGGGAACTTCGTTCCGCACCGTCCCCTGGTGGTCAGTGCACATTATAGCAAGCCATTGAACTCCCAATGGGGGCCCTTTGCATGTTAGTCTTTTATATAGAGGGTTTTCTTACAGGTGCTTTATCTGGGATGGAAACACTGTTTTATCTGGAAGTCAGTCTGGTGAACTGCTTGTTTGGGACCTTCTTGGAGGAAAACTCTGTGAGAGAATACAGGGACATAAAGGTAAGAGGTTTTCAGTTAGCCTGGCCTTTCTTCCCAAAATACCAAGCTCAAACCTGCTTTCTGGAAGGCCTAGCCTCAGCAATCAGAGAGGAAAGAGAAACATCCACCCATACTGGGAAGGAAGAAGTAAAATTGTTATTTACAGGTGACATCCTGTATAGAGAATCCTAAAGATTCCACCAAAAACTATTAGAACTGATAAACAAATCCAGTCAAGTAGCAGGACACAGCTGCTAATATTCAATCCTGCTTTCCTTTCAGCCCCTGTGCCCTCTGGGCTCTAACATTCCCCTCCACCTTCCTGGCTGGTCTGTATCTTTTGAGTCCTTCAGAATTTAGATTTATTTTGACTCCAAAAAGGAAGTTTTCACATTAACTTCCACATGGAGAATTAAAAGCCATAGTAAAAGCTGTAATCTTTTTAATAGTTAAAAACAATAGAAAAATAATGTACTACTAGAAAAATAATGAACTACAAGAAAAGCTAAGTCAACTCCCACCACTGTCTTCTACCTCCCACTTGTCATCCTTAGATGACTTTTGCAGTTTGAGTCCAGGGTGTGTGTCTCGTTGTTCAGAGGGTGTGTTTGCACGTGTACATAATAGTGTGGTGTTTTTTCACTTAGTATCTTCTGGAGATTCACTATATTTGCTTACATTTGCATGGTTTACGGCTTTGAATTCTTCTAGGGTCAATGGTTAAAAATATCAGCTACCTTCCTCTTCCCTTGTCACCCAGTTGTGTAGGGTTAGTGCATCTTAACTTAAAGTGATACAAAGTGATATATATCTATGCCTTTTCCCCCAACTTGCTAGCTTTAATATTTTCACCCTTCCCAATAGAAATAGATATAAATCATCACATTAACACCAATGTTCTACCTTGTCCCTTACCTGCATTCTGTTCTGTACCCATAATTCCCAGTTGTTTTAGTTTTACTTATATAAGTGGTTTCTATTCTTCCCAAGTTTCTCCAGCTAAGCTACAAAGATTTTATCAGCTAAGAGTACATCACTTGTTAGTGTATCTTTGGGGACCTCCTATCAACTCCACCCCTAACCAGTGTCTTTTCCTTGTAGGTGCTGTGACATGTATATGGATGAACGAACAGTGTAGCAGTATCATCACAGGAGGGGAAGACAGAAAAATTATGTTCTGGAAATTGCAGTATTAAGTGCCTTTTCCTCTCCTAAATGTTAAGAACTCTAATGTATTTTTAAACCATACTTTTAAATGAACTGGTGGAAGTGCAATGATAGTAATTAGAAGTTTTACCACAAAAGAAAGTTGAGGTTTTAAACTTTCTAAATCATGGTGACATCATTGAAAACTATGAGTTGCCATCCTGTAAGGGTAAAGGTACAGCACTGTTAGGGAGAAACATTACATTTGTAAGGCAGGTGATCATCCCAATATGATGGTCAGAAGACAGATTTGAGTGGCAGAGAATCTAAACTGGGGAACATCCCAAAAGCACTTAATTTAGGATTTTCCAAGAAAGTGTGCAGTATTCTCTACTATTGAGTCACTATTTTGTCTTCCTGACTTACACAATCGCTGCCCACTGGGTTTGGGGTGTGTTTTCATGGTGTGGTTACTTTCTATAACCTACTGTTCCTGGAGGATAAGGACCTGGGGAAGGAATAGCAGTTCTTATAACAGTAAGTTTATTGTGTATAGGAACAGTTTATTTCATTATAACAGTAAGTTTATTGTGTATAGGAACAGTTTATTTCATTATAACTATTAAATGGTCATCTTTTCTACATTAAAAATATTTTTCTGTAATGAAACGTTTTCATTTTCTTATTTATTACAAAAACTAGGACTTTTCAAGTATTGATTCTCCTAGAAAACCATACTTAAGTGATGTGAATGTTGTTCTTGTTGGAACCATCTTTAGATCCAAGTTCAGACAGCAAACTAGATCATCAAACTGGGAAACACTGGTTTGCTTTGCTAAATTTCAAACAAGGTAAGCTGCAAAGCAGTAACTTCTTTTCTAAACCACAATAAGATGGGATTTTAAATTTTTCTATACTCTTAAAAATCTTGCTGGCAGTTATGGCTTAGGGGAAAACTTGAGTCAGACCAGGATGATAGAATTTTCAGTGACTCTAAACATGACTTGGTCTCAAGTATTACTAGGGAGAATCTACAGCCTTACCCGAGTCCGGATGCTCACCTTGAGGGTTGCAGACCTGTCCATCAGCATCACAGCTGCTGCAGAGACAACTCCCACCACAGGTCCCAGGTGAATTTCACATGCCTGTTTTCTAGGTCATGTACTAGTTTAGTGAAAGCCATGGACAGTTTCCAAAAGGTGCAATAATAGACTGGCTAAATTTTATTTATACATACATATTTAATTAGAATAAGTAGAAACCAAAAAGGAGGGGGAAAAAAAATCAGGGTAAAGTGTCAATGCCATTTTGTTTGCAGGGAGAAGTCAGAAATAGAACAAATCACCAGGACAACATGGTTTGTTAAGACCCTCCTAAAGCAGTTAAGTTATATAATCTATGAATGAAAAAAAAGTCAAAAATTTATTCTACTTAGCATAAGAATTTTTACATTAAATATATAGTAATTCATTTGTCAGAAAATGATACCAGGAACTATGAGTAGTTGCATTACACAATGACTATGACTAGAAAATCTCAACTGCAACTAAGCAGCTATGCTATATATATATAGCTCTTGTTCTGGGCTAAGGTACATTTCAGTTTAATATAGAACTGCATTATGGATGTAGAAAGGCAGCAATAATTATGTTTTGGCTTTTCTTCTAGATGCTTAAGTTAAGGCAGCAGTTCAAGCAAGTGAAGGTAGTTAAAATTTAATACAACTTGCATACACTGTTTTAATGCTTTCTACATGGAATGAAACCAGTGTTATTTAATTGGTGTTTACAGAAACACACTACACACAGGTAACTAAAAAAACAAAACACAACTACCAAAAGCAATCATTCTAAATGTCCTATGATAACAGTAAAAATGCAAATATACCATAGAACTAAAGTAACAACAATACTTGGTTTATAGGACAAAGGTGACTGGCTCCAACACAAAGCTAAGCCTGCATCAGTCATTCTAATCATAATGGCTTGAAAAGCATCAGGTTTCCAGTAGAGAAACTAATCTAGGAAAGTCCTTTGATTTTGAGAGTTTCACATCTGTAAAACCAGGATAAGGCTACAACTATTTTGAAGTCTGAGCAATTATCAGATCAAACAGTTAGATTCCCAGCTACACTGTAGATAGAAAGGACCTCATGCAGCATATGCTCTCTGGCTCCTAGGAAGCTTCCTGTGCATAATATCGAGTGAAGTTGCCAAAGAAGTAAACTGGAGAAGTTCATTGTGTCGTGACTTTTAAACCTCAGGAATGGTGTGGTCCATCAGGCTCTTGATAATGCTTGGTGCCATCCTACAAGAGAGGCATTGTGTTGATCAAAGAAAACTCCAATTCAAGCTTAGCACCTATTAGCATCAAAGTTGGCAGAAAGGGGATCCTTTTTAATGAATTTTGATCTAAGGGTCTCATGTAATCTTCGTTTTGCAAACGTCCACTGTAAAAAGGCTATCTGTATCTTGGCTAGAAAAGTTAGATAAGATACAAGGTAAGTCTTTGTATATATTGTGTAATAAAGGCTAATGATTTTTTTTTAAATGCTGTTGGGAAACTGGGGTAGAGGGACAGCTATCACTATTCACAGTAACTCCTTTTTTTATACCCCTAAAGTAGCTAGCTGCTTTCTGCCCAACAGCTGAAACTAACAAAAATATAATCTGCCTATTTCCATTTGCAAAATAGATCCTGAGGAAAAGAATTCTAAGTTGGCTTGGCAAAAACAGTTATGCTAAAGCCAGGATTTTAAAAGCTCCAGGGAAGGTAACCATGCTGCCCCTTTTCTAGTCTCCTTTCTTAGCTTTCCAGCCCTCAGCCCCTACACACCTCTACCTGCCTCCGGAGATGCTCGAGAGAGTAAAAATTGACTTATAACGTCCAGTAAGAATTTGCCATCATGAACTACAAGTAAATTACTGAGCAGAGGAACTACAGGTAGCGTGCAACCACAATCCATTTTACTGAAAATTGGAAGCTGAGTTTGCCCAAATCTGCTTATATACCCTTTTCCTAGTAGGAAATGTCAAAATTTCCAAAGTGTGTAATGAATTTTATTCTAAGCTTAAAGTTTAAGGGGGTCATCCTTACCAACCAAATCTTCTAATTTAAATAATTTACTCTAATGTCATCCCTTAGGTAAAGAACCAAAAGTTTGGGAATTAAAAGCAGCACAGTTCTTATATATTAACCCTTTGCACTCCGCTGTCCCCTCTCAGGGGACATTGCAGTTTATTAGTGATTACGGGGAATTGAGTTAACTCAACGCACGTTTCGCAAAGTAGCGTCGAGTAGCTGGTAGCCAATGTCCAGAATGGTTCGGCGTGCAAAGGGTTAAGTCACATGACCATAAACATCAAGTTAAAAAACTGTCTACTTACCGTTTAATAATATGTTCAAAGATAAAAGCAGGCATGATTGTGATAGTAACTACCGTCCCAGATGTTGACAATATGTCTGCAACTTGAGAGTCCTGTTGAAAACATAAAATTGTTATTCGTTATTCTAAGAAATATATGTCTTAGGTTTTGCTAATATCTCTAAAATCTTGACTCTTGATATTTACAATTTATATTTACAATTTTTTTCTAGTTTTCCTTACCACGTTTAGTGTAGAATCACAATATATTAGCCAAAAAAATAATCTTAACGATTATTACAATATCCCCTCAGTTAACCAAAGTTTATGAAATAAGCAGGTCATAATGAAACCCTTTAAGATTGTAAAAGAACCCTACTCAAGAATTTGTGGAAGGACAAAAAAATATAAAAAGTATTAATATGAATAGAAACTATTACTTGTTTCCCATAATCCAAATTGAAAAAAAGTTGGATAAGCATTCATTAAAATGCCACCAAACCTTTAATGCCTATGTCTCCATACAATTCCAGCTCAAGGGACTTCAGATATCATTTACTTCAGCCCCTTGTTACCGGAACAATTATTATTCCAGATAATTCCATTGCGTGGCCTGAGTATAGCCCCAGATTTCACATCTCCCACTGTATTGCTATATTTTGAAGGTCAATATGAAAACAGAGCACTATTTAAATAGACAAAAAACATTTGCCAAAAATGGAATCAGCAGAATAAGACATGTTTTTTTTACCTTCAATCCAATGACATTCTGTCCATTAATTTCACAGATATTATGTTCTGTAAGAAGACCGTTTCTAGCTGCAGAACTGTCTTTTACTATGGATGTTATTTTTCCATTTTTAAAGATAAAACCAACATGCCCAGTACTATCTTTATGCATAGTAATTGTGCGTTCAAAGGGCCTGTAAAACAAAATGGGTTCAATTGAAAATTGCATATAAACGTTTTAATGGACTTCTATTCTGCCATACTAGTAGTTTTGTTATCATATACTCAGTGTTTCTAATAAGAGCAACTAAGTTTGGCTGTGATGTTGTACATTCCCAGAATATCTTAACAATTCCATTGTTAAGTTAATCCTTCAACAATGCAGGGGGTTAGGAGCACTACCCTCCATGCAGTCAAAAATCTGCACAGAGCTTTTGACTCTGCATAAACTATAGTTGGCCGTTCTCATTTGCAGATTCCCAATAGTTTGACCCTGTACAATATAGGTTAGAACTGCGGGTCCCCATATTAATTTAAATCCACAGTGGACCCACACAGTTCAAATCCATGTTCAAGGGTTAACTATATTTCTTTTAATTTATCCATTATGGTTTGCCTAAATTACTAATATTTCCTTCTTTTAAGTATCCAAGACTTAACTGGCTTCTAGGAAGATGTAGCTATTACAATAAGGCAGCCAGCTGTCTGCTCTTAAAAACTACCATGCCAATTATACTTGCTCATCTTTCTATAATTCAGAGACATGTCATTACATGTGTTTTCTGATAAACCTGTGCTTTCATAAAATTCAGAACAGTCATATCTTCCTATTGGTCCATGTTATTACTCTTTTCCTTAGATATAAAGCAAAAATGGCATTCATCTACAAAATGTTTACTAAGTACCTTCCACATATGAGAAACACAAGTAGTTGTTATATGACAGAGGCCCATCCACCCTTAACACTTGCGAGGGCTGGGGCAAGAAAATAAATGGAGGCCCAGATTTCATGTGCTAAATGTGTCCATTATAAACGGACTAACTGCTAAATAAAATGTTCCATCTTCCTACCCTGACAACTGGAGCTTCATAACCAGCCAAAAAGCCAGATTTGTTTTTAGAACTTGTAGGCAGGATGCCTAAGTAGTGAAATGGAATGTGAGCCCAAGGATGCCATGCTGCTTACTTTTCCAATGTATATTTTCTATTTTCTACAGAAACAGATTAAGATAGGAAAGTAACTTCTTAGAGGATGAATTTCTATAATATCTGAAATAAAAGTGTATGCAAAACCAGGATACCATTTTTAAAAACAAACTATGTAAGAAAAATCTATACCACATTAATTTTAAGACTCTAAGCCTCATCAGTAACATTTGATTATATTCACAGAATCTAAAAAGCACAAGAAAACAGGAAACGGGTCTTAAATTTCCATTTGAACTGTCCAGTCAACTTGCCTGTCACGAATAGTCATAGTAATCTTCTCTCCAAAAGCCTGCTTGAGCACCTTGTGTGCTTTATCAGAGCTCCAGCCTGCACAGTTTTCCCCGTTGATCTGCAGCACTTGGTCCCCGAATCTCAGACCAACTAATGAGGCTGGAGAATTTGCTTGGACAAGCTGAACAAATATACCCTAAAGAAAATAAGTTTGGTCATTTAACACTGTTATGATATAGTTTTAAAATGATGGAAAATTAGGACCAACTGTTTAGGAGTCTAACCTAAAAAAAAAAAAAAAAAATTAAGTATATGTGTCGTTAACCACCGCCCCCCCCCCCCCCTCAAATAAATAAATAGAAAATTTTATCAGGCAGGAATCCCAAGAAGAAAAGCAAAAAAGGTCATATCTCAGTAATAATTTATACCTCAATTGATGACCCATCTACCTATCCTCAATCACTCCTTTAAAAGCATTTTGGAATAAAAAGACTATAGAAAACAAAGTAGGTTTACTATAATAGATGTTAATGCCATTTTTGCTGAGTCTGACAATACAAATAGGTACTGGCCACATGATCATTATTTAGGGGGAAAGCAAAGAAGTCAAATGTTTTCTCCACTTGCTAAATTATGCATAATTAAGAGTAGGGTTTAACGGCCTAAAAATGTGGGCACATTCAATCCTACTCCAGTTCTTATAAAGAATCCTCTATGAAATACAGAAAACTCAAAAATGTTTAAGATATTTTTACTTCTATAAACAAATTCAGATGTTGAATAAAATATAAACAAGTACAGAAGAATGAACTTGACAAAATATGAAAGCATCTACAAGACTAGACCCTTTCTACCATCTTATGCTGGGTCAGACTTGACTTCTGTCACGTGTCTGCCATTTAGGCGGTACAGGAAAGTGGGCAGCATCTGAAAAGTAGTCTGACCACTGAGCTTTGCCCAAGTGGACAAATCTACTGTAAGGATAATTGCAGTGGGGGGGGGGGGGTGTAGAGGCCTATTAATATATTGTCTCAAAGGAAGGTGCGGAGAAGAAACCCTGGCACAGGAGACAGCATAGCAAATACTTCATTCACTGGAAAAGGAGAGCGCGAAGTCAGAGCTTCCCAAAGAAGCACCCTGATGTGTCTTCAATAAACTCGGGTGTTCAAAGGCATCAATGTCCTCATCTCCTGGGCGGGCAGGCAGGCAGGGTTGGGCTCCTGCCAAGGTCAACCTCGGCCATAAGCCAATAATTCATGCCATGCCCATTTTCTACGTGTAAAGGTTGGACACAATGAGCTAAGATCTCAATACTAAAAAGGAACCCAATAAGGCAATACCTGAAACATAATACATCAGGGCAAGTCCTTAACAATCCTGAGTGCTTCCTTAGAGTAACCCTGTTTAATTTCTTCAGTAGAGTCAAGGGGAGATGGAAGCAATTATAAAGGTTTCCCTAATTAGAAAGTCACCTTTGCTCAGAAAATGACCTACTAAATTCAAATTAAAGGATGGCAATAAAAGAACCGCAAAACCATTTTTTAACAAATTAAATAATTCTCTGGCTTAAAAATATTCATCATAAGCTCAGATTTTCACTGGTCAG